TGAAGCTGCCATCCGGAAAGTCACCTAACATACAACCCAGAATACCGTAAGTGGAAGTGTTTTAACCATGAAAACCCCCAAAAAGAAACGATGAATTTGTTACTCATGTGTTAATCTCGATAACAATTGTCAGCCCTGAAGCTCATATGTGAGCTCCGGCTAGAAATCCACTCACGGAATTTCCGAATGACAAGGGTTGCAAAACTCGTCCAACTTTTGAATCAATAGTCGAAGTAGGGCTAGTTCAGCACAACAACTGATACATTTTTTTTTAAACTCTGCTATTTTTCAGATTTTCCAAGGATCACCTTGATGCTTAAGGTGGCAATTTCGAGAAAACCTCGGATTGTATGTACAATTTTCCATATGTCGTGGATTTTTATGAAAAAAATGAAGGTCATGGAATTTCGTAACAGAACAAGCGTTGGAACCATTGAAGTAATTGAAATAAAAAAAAACTAATTCAGGTTTTCATTGAAGACATTCCGCCGACGTTGTCTTACGACGAACGCATCAGCTGTGATATCAATACACCCAAGTGCATCATGTGTTCTTGGTTAATTGGTTTTTGTCGAGGTGTTCAGGTGAGAGAAAATTGAATATGTTGTTGATTTAAAAACCATTGGTGTTTTTATTCGTTGTGATTTTTTTCGGTCAACGGAACGGATACTTCACAGCGTGAGAGAAAAAGTAAAATATTCTCATGAGGTATAAAGCATTGTAAAAATTGATATCAGACAGGGCAAGCGATCCTTGATTGGGACACCTATCAGACATTTACACCTTGTACAGCAATGTGCCATGTATTAAGGTAAAGAATAATCTCTAAAAATATTTTTTAATACCCGTCTGCTCATTATCGTGCGTTAAAAAACATAAGGTACGGTACGATTGTTGTGGCCAACGAGATCGAGCGAAGTTCGTTCCAGTGAAGATATTTTCGAATTTGGACTTGCTGAATGTTGAGTGATCAACTGGAATTGCCACTCTCAATCCGTTGGTGTCGAGTTTGAATCCGAGATCTAACATTTTGTTTTGTTTTGTTTTATGAGTCAACAGATCACGGATTTTTGGAAGAAGCGGCGCGAGTTGTCGAGCGATGCCATAAAGACAAAGCCAGATTTATTTCACGAACTGCACCGCATTCTTCTTTGCCGCCGGTGAGTCTGATCTATTCCTGCTAAATCTGATCGTAATTTTGAGTGATCATTTAAAATTATGGACGGACTTGTTTTCCATGAATTCCCCTGGATCAAATTAGCGCCGGAATTTTGATTTTCATTTCACGTACGGCATTTGGGTGCCTTTACATTGAACGAAAATAAAATTATGCTGATGAAGTGGATTACGACGGACGGGCTGACAATTGTTATCGAGATTAACACATGAGTAACAAATTCATCGTTTCTTTTTGGGGGTTTTCATGGTTAAAACACTTCCACTTACGGTATTCTGTGTTGTATGTTAGGTGACTTTCCGGATGGCAGCTTCACAATTGGACTGCTTGACGGATGCATGATTCAATTCCAAGGCGAATATGTGCTATTATCAATCTCGGAATTTGAAAGTTGCGCGACTCATACTACCTAATCGCTAAAACCACTATTCCATGCTTTGTTTTTCGTTGGTTACATTATTTATGCTCCAGTTTTTCATTTCTCACAGCATTTGTATCAACTGAAGATGGCGGCGCGACAGCGAGGGATTTTTCTGACGTTTATGCCTAAAATTTTCACGAAGCACAAAAGTAACTCGACTCGTTTGAATTTCAAGACGCGGGCGATTTTTTGGAAAATAACATGGAAATTTCTGCAAGCAGATTTTTCCGAAGTCAGTGACTGAGACTCCTTTCTAAAAAATTCATTTGGAGTATGAACCCCCCCCCCTTTTTTTTTTCTCTCTCGTAGGATTTATGAAGACACGCTATACCGCTCTGGGCGAACTTTATGTGCCGTTCCTCGAAACGCCTAAATATTCTTGGAAGTTGTCCGTGTATCAGAGTGTGGGCTTTGCTGGATGCGTGGTGCTGATGAGAGCTGAAGGAAATCATCGTTTGGGCGTGAAGAAAGTTGATTTTTCTAAACGGGGTCCCCGGGACACGGAATCCCCGCGCGACAAAATCCCTGACACGAAATCCCCGCCATACCCGCGCACAGCTGTAACAAAAGCCCCGAACTTTTTTCCAAGCAGCAAGCTTTTTAGTGTCACCCTCGCCGCTGGTTAAACTTCATTACTTTGCTACTGATTGAGGGAAGTATACGAGCTTGAAGGAAAAATATTGTCAAGCTATCGCATTTTTTTAAAGACGTCGCAAGGAAATCGTCTGCCCCTCAATAAACGATTGTGATCGCGAAAATTTGGGAATACCCCCAAAGACTCGGGATATGATTGTAACAATTGTATTATAAAAATGTATTTAAAACCCTGAAAGGAAACTCGAATTCAGGATGTGCACAGCTGCAGATATTTTTGTCCTTCCTGCACTCAAGCCCAGACCCCCTGAGGCGTCACCACCTGTTGGGGGCCAGGACAGAGTTAAAAGCATCCTTGGGAGCAGCTGCTCCACCAGGTGGATTTCCAGGAAGTCCATTTAAAAGAGAAACTCTGAAAAATTGGAAGAGAGTTAAGTGGTTGCCCACTGAGAATTTCAATTTGCAGTTGGACTTTCTGCCTAAAAATAGAAGCCCTCCCATTGAAAATTGTTTAGGAGGAAGATTTAAACCTTCCTCCCCAGGCATCCCAGTTGTTCTCTGTGCATTTGTACAAGATTTATTTTGAACATTTGGCAACTTCTGATGGGGCTTTTAAGTGCATTTCCACCCATTTGTGTGAGTGTTTTGCAGTTGTTCAAGAAGCTTTTAAGCTTCCTGGGAAGGGGGAAGTTGTGATGTTTAAATTTGAGTGTTTGAAAGAATAGAGGCAGAACAAGATCAGAACTCAAGAAGCAAGGCAGCAAGTCTGTGTGCTACAAGAATAAAACTTTGTAAAAACTTGAACTCAAGACTTTGAAGATTTTTTTACTTTGCATTGGACAGCATTACAGTCCAACACTTGAACACTCTAAAGGAAGATCTGATAGAAAGTTGTGTGAGAAAGCAACAGCAGGAGCAGAAGGAATTTTCCTACAGTTCATTTGCAAACTGGAAGCATCAGAAATATTTTACATATGATAATTTTTCCAGCATCTGTTTCAATTTTCTCATGGAATCTATTCATTTTTTTCATTGTCCGCTTCAAGAGTGAAACTTGGCAACTCTCAATCATCAAGTTACTAATTTATTGCTAGAAATATTTTAGTTTCTCCCTAAATACTGTCGTATAATACTGTTTTGCAAAGGGATGTTTCAAAATCCGAAAATTACCTTGGAATGTCATTGCCATCAATCGCGACTCCGGCAGAGTCATACCCTGGATACTCAAGCCTTTGCAATCTTTTTATGAGAAAATCTGTAGAGAAAAAAATGCGCTTCTTACTGGGGAATAAAAGTTCGGGGCTTTCGTTACAGCTGTGCGCAGGTACGGCGGGGATTCCGTGTCCCGGGCTTTCGTGTCCCGGGGACCCCATTACAAACCCGACTTCGACAGGCATTATAGAAATTATTATAAAGAGTTTATGCAGCATTACGCCAAAATATAAGGGATCAAAAAACCCGATCATTTCTCTCGATTCAAAGCGAACCTGTTCTCAGGGCATATTGCCATACTTTCAACCCGTGATCCGTGCCCTTTCCCCGAGGGGGGACTTTGTCCCTACCGCCAAAAAAAAGCGCCATTCATCTGGCAGTGCCATTAAAAGGCTGCGGATTTTTTCTCGTGCTGTGCCATGCCATACTTTCAATCCGTGATCCGTGCCCTTTCCCCGAGGGGGGACTTTGTCCCTACCGCCAAAAAAAAGCACCATTCATCTGGCAGTGCCATTAAAAGGCTGCGGATTTTTTCTCGTGCTGTGCCAAACTTCAGGGTTTCAGACGCGGTACCTCTTACGGGGACATTCACGTTCAATTTCACACAAACCACACTACACAATTTCAAAAATATGATTGAGTTAAAAATAGGTTTTACACTAAAAAAATGTTCTAAGATATGTTCTTATATGTAATGGAAAAAATTCCACAATTTGCTGTGCTCTGTGTTCATCCCGGCTTGCAACAAGCAGACTTTTCATCAGGCATTCCTTTTTCAGAATTTTCGTACCTACCAGATTTTTGGACCTTGGGAGATTTTTGGGCCTACAGGATTTTTGACCGCACAGGATTTTTGGGCCGCGGGATTTTTTTTTTCACCGGATTTTCTCTTGCACCCGTAGGTGCAACACTCTTATAGAAGTTACAAGTGCAAAAATGAATAAAAAATATTTTGTGGGGAATTTTGGAACACATTTGCGTGTGGTTACAATTTTTTGAAGAGGTATTGTAGCAGCAATAACACATAGCAGTTTGTTCCATTTTTTAAAAAGATATCACAGGTACACTGATGGCAGGGAATGAAGAAACACTGTGCCACTGGAATCACCTCTCATATTTTCCATGAAAACCATTGCATTACTGAACAAAAAATTCAATAAAAATTCTCCATTAAAAATTTCTGTGGAAAGATAGCTTGAAGATTGCTGGAAAATTTTCATCAAAACCAAATCAAAAGATGAAACATTGCTGTGGGAAAATAGCTTGAGGATTGCTAAGAAATGTTTTATTCAACCCTTTTTTAAATATCTATGAGTTACTTGGAAGTTTAAAAAAACTTCAAAAGAAACAGACGAAATGAAGGTGCAGATCACGTTTGTCCTTCACCCTTTTCTTCCATTCACCCTTGTCTCCGGTTGTCTTCTGCACTGTCCTGGTCTCCTGAACATACATGTTTGTTTTTATCTTTTGCTGGCGGGCAGAGTCAAAGGGTTTTTTTTTCAGCCACCCATTTCAAAGTGGTTTAAACCCTGGCAAAGTCAAAGGGTTTTTCTGGTGACCCTTCTTTGTCCTCCCCCTCAGCACAGGACGTCTGGCATTCCACACTTAATCCTTTTTTGTTGCCAAATTGATTAAAATTTTCTGTTTTACATATATTGAAAAATTATACTGATGTGCTATCGTGATAAATATTGAATAGTACTGTACTTCAAATACCCCGAGGGAGTCCTTTCCCTGCATCTGTCTTTCCACTTCTCTTACCTTGCTTTTGAGAGACTTGAACTTTTGATCTTCGAAGTAAAACGTGGAGGTTAGGAGGTGAGATTTATTGAGGTATCTCAAAAGGAACCGGGAAGTACTTGGAGGCTTGTCGGATTTCTTCACGACAGTTCCGCAATCAAATTGGTATTGCGCCGCACGATTATCGAGGAAATCGCCGAATTCTGATTAATGAACCTGTGTTATTGAAATATGTACAGTACAGTACTGTATTCACCATTCCGGTTGCGCTGACCTCTTTGAAAGCGCCGAGCGTTTGCGTGTAGCTTGGTAGACCCTATAGAGAGAGATATGCATCGAATACGTCAATTCCTGCTGATGCAATCCCTTTCCGCAGAATGATACAGCCATCTATGATGGTTGTGGGTTGTCGAAAGGGTGCTTCGGGTCACCGGAAGGCTGCACGGAAAAGCGCAAGTGTGATAAGGTGGTGACCTACTCCACGACCTCGGATGGCGAAGCATACCGTTTCGAACTGCAGGGTGGCGTTGCCGAACTTCAGAACGGCGACGCGTACATTGCTGTTGGCTTCTCCGATGATGGTGATATGGTGAGTGCATAGGATACTTTGTACTCGTCACAGTCGGAATCTTCACGTCGATTCCCCGGTGTATTCAAACATGTGCTCTTCTGCATGCTCCCAAAATAAGATCACTAAGGAGAACGCTTGGTTTTTCAAGTTAACTGTA